AGTATTGACTGAAACCTTTCACAAGTCATAAAATATCACATATATTTTTTGAAAATTGGTTTCAGGCCTTATTTATCTTAGTGTTTTGTTTTTTACCAACTGAGGAGGTTTTGAATAAGAATCAGGTTTCTTTTTTATGCTACATATTCCGGGGTCCTTGTTTGTTTGTTTTTTCAACATCAGTGTGTATGAGACCAAATGTCCCTGAACTGCTACAAGAGACTAGCAGACAGAGATAGATAAGAAACTGCTTTACTTTGAGGAGGGAGGATGACAAAATAGCACTTAACAGCTATATTGTAGTCTAAATCCTGCTGCCGGGGTCTTTGTTTACCTCGCAAATCAAGCATCTTTAATTAATTTTTTGCTTCCCATTCCAAATCATACTCTGTAGTATAAACTAAAGGGAACTCATGTCTGTTTTTTTTTTCATGTCTGTTTAGAGATTATTTAATCAGATGCACAAGTATCTTTGGTAAAATATATATCTTCTGAATTGAGGGAAATAGCCATTTTCACAATTGTTCTACCAATCACAACAGAAATTTCCCTTTCTTCAATTTCTAATAGTTTATTTACCATTTTCCTAGTCTCTTCCTACACAGTCTCCTTGATTCTAGCCACTACTTGGTCACAAACAAATGCTTCATATTTTAAAGAAACACCCACTTGCATTTATCTGTGAAAAAGTGTGCTTGCCATCAGCTGAACAGTCTGGTTCTTTGTCATGTGGCCACTCATCCTCTGCAAGCTGGTGCCAGCTTCTTTAAAAGTCTTTCTAATGTGCTTGCCACAATTGATGTATATATGGATTGTGATGAGTTGTGTGACCCCCTATAAAATTATGTTCGAAAAAAGAAGGAACGTCTCAAGGAAATGTTCCAAAAACATCAAGGCAGAAGCTGCATCAAGGCAAAAGTTGGCACATCCATCTTATTCTGTCTGTCACCAAAAGGTACAGAGCTAGAGACTGAATAGATTCTACCTCTTGATACAATGGTTGTGAGAGTACATTAAATCTGTGACAGATCTGATTTTTAAATTTAATTTAAAGAGCACTTATTATTGAGTCATTTCCAACACATGTCAAGTCTTATGTAGAAGAGGAACATTGTGCTCCATAGAATTGTCATGATTGATTTTTCAGAAGATCACCAGCCTTTCAAAGGCACATCTGGGTAGACATTAACCTCCTCCTTCCAGTTAGCACTACGTATGTTAACCATTTGCACCACCCAAGGACTAGCCTCTGTTAAATCGGTGTTGTGATTCTTATTAGACTGAGCAGCCTCTAGGTCTTATATGATCCTGCATAGTTGGTACAGTATTTGTTAAATATTTTCACTTACAAAATATTTTCCCCACCACATTGTAAAGATCACAATGATATTCCATACAAATAAAGTGATAATAAAGACATGTCTCTGCAGAGGTTTGAGATAGCAACCGGAGTTTAGAAGTCAGATAAGCAGTTATTGGCAGATGCTCACTCATCATGACATTTATAAGCCATGCTAACATGCTCAAACGCTTTCTACTTGTAAGAAATGTTGACTGTATATATTTTTGATAAATCTAAATACATTTATCATTTAAATTTATGTATTCTTATTTGAATGTTGTTAACCAAGTAGAATTGGCAAAATTGTAGCACTATAAGGAAGGATACATATCACTTTCAGACAGTATAAATTATTTATAAAATAAACTTAAAAAATTCAAAATATCACCTACAAACTCTCATTTCAGAAATTGGGTGCTTTTTCTATTATCACAAAAATGTTTTCTCACCTATACTTCCCTCTTGAGCATTCCTCAAAAATGAATTTCATGATAAAAATACTATGAGTATAATGAACTTAAAACCTATGTTTTTTCAAATATAGAAATCATGGACTTAATAAAAATTAGTGCTGTCTTCCACTTAAGCATATTTTAAAATAAAGCTAAAGATTCACCTGTTTCCCGCAAGTGCAGTGATAAGGAGAGAAATGCTTGTCCCTGGAAGCTGACGAATGAGCTTCCCAACAAACAGATGCTGTTGTTGTCAGGGCCGCGGGGTGGGTTCCAACTCATAGCAACACGATTATGTGGAATGTTCTTAAATTTTCCTTGGCAGAATTATCTTGTTATTTTAAGATGGGGAATTTTCTATAATTCCCTTCAGTGTGAATGTCGTTCTTCTCACTATGATCAATGGCATAAAATTTCAGCTCTGTGACCCTCTGGCCTGTAGTTACCTTCCTCCCAAGCAAGCAAGCGAGCATTGATGACACAGTTTGGGGTACCTACAGCTGAAAATGAGGAGCTTCTCCACTGTGCATTGCTACTTCTTAGAAAAGCCACCATAACGTAGACCCCTAACATCATTCTTGCTATTTTTTCATCCCAAACCAACTTTTATACTTTGGCTTAATAAGTTTATTTTGCTTTTCAAAACACTTTTATATGAATTATCTCATTGTCAATTATTGTGTAGTGTTATGAATGCTATTACTCAATATGTTTTCAAAAAAGATATATTTGTTGTGGATAGTGCGGATGCTGTTGTTGTTAGCTGCTATCAATGTAATTCTGGCTCATGGTGATATAGTTATATCTCTATCTATCTATCATCTATATCTATATCTATATATCTATATCATCTCTATCTCTATATCTATCTATCTATATATATGCTAGAACTGCTCCATATGATTGTAAAGCCTAAGTCTTTTCGAAAACACATTACCTTTCTGTCTTTGAGGCATATAGATGTGGATTCCAAACACCAGTCTTTTGGCTGGAGGTTGAGTACGTAATCTTTTGTACACACAGTGACTCCAGGACAGTGTGGAAATAAGATGGAAGATCACCTCACTGGAGATACAGGGGAAAAAAGAAAAGCAAAAGAGTAAAGAAGCTATCAGATAAGGCATAAAAATAATGATTCAATAGAATTGAAAGAAAATACAAATGAAAAAAAGTTTTTAAATTGATTGGGCCTTCCAAAAATTATGTTGAAGTCTTACCACATCCACATACATTTGTTTGATCTTATTTGCATAAAGGGTGTTTATAGATGCAAGTAAATTAAAATGAGGTTATTCTGGATGTTGACAGATCTAAAATCCAACAACGGTTGAAGCTATAACATAGTGAAACAGATAAACAGAGGGAATAGGGCTACAAGAAGATGGGGGAGGGCAGCAATTTGATGGCTGTCTCTACAAATCAAAGATTGTCGTGTACCACCAAAAGACGCTGGGCAGTCTCATGAAAGACTTCTCTAGAAATCCAGGTGTCCCTTTACACTTCCAGATTGCCAGAAATGTCAGACAGAATACATTTCTTTTGTTTTGAGCCACCCAGTTTGTGGTGATTCTCCCTTTACCCCCCTCCCTCCTCCCCCCTCCCCCTTGTCCCCCCCACCCCCACCCCATGCTCTTCTAAGTGACTCATACAGGGTAGTGAGCAACAGGAAAGAGGGCAAGGGGCTGAGAAGAAGGAAGAGGGGGAGCAGCAAGAGGAGAGGAGAAAGAGGAGAACAAGAAATGGAAGGCAAGAGGGAGAGATATACAAACAAAAATTATTGAAAAAGAGAAAACTATCTGTTTGTAAAAGGAGAAATGAACAAGAAATGAAATGGAGAGAAAAAGGATAGTTTCAATAGGTTCTGGAATGATAGTAATAAAGCTAAACTGCTATGCTTTATTGTACTGTCCATTTAAGCTGTGGCTATTAAAATAAGTTACAATCCATAATTTATTATCTCAATCCTTTGAGAGGCTAATTAACTTTCCCACAATTAAACACTATTCGCAATTCCTCAGCTGTTTTTATCAGACCCTCAAATGATTATAAATGGATAGTCAAAAAGACCTTTGAGAGAAATGATTCA